ATCCGAGGGCTTTATTGCGGGATTGCTTTGCTAAGGGGGGCTATTGCTCCCGCGCCGGGCCCGCTTTAGAAGTTGAAAAACACCCCCTAACCCGCAAAATTTGGAACTCACATGGGGTAATACCGGGCATATATAAGTGACCCCCCGGGGACAACACCACACCTGCAGTGCTCGAAATAAGAAAAAAAATGTGGTGTCCTGCGGACAACCCAGGCATCAAATCAGGTTGTCCGCAACAATTTCTGGTTGTCCCAAAAAAATATCCCCAAATCTCCTATTTTCAATCACATAATAATATGGTCAGAAAACCCAAAAACAGTGGGTAGCCAGGATTTTTTAACAAGGGTGGCCAAAAACAGCAAACTGCGCAAAATAGTGGATGACTTAATATTTTAATGGCTCCTCGCCTCCCGCTCCCACCCTACAGCTCATCTACCTTCTCTGCAATCTTTGTTTTGGGTGCCAGTGTGAAAAGGCGACATTTTGTTCATTGTTCTTCTGCCTCCCAAGATATGTATTATTGTTTCAGTGGCGGCGTCTGGATTCCAGGAGGGTGGAAAACCAAGCACCGGGCGGGGGTATGGGGGTCCTCCCCCAGAAATTTTTGAAAATGTAGATCGCAGGAGAGATGGTATTTGCAGCACTTTTGAGTACATGTACAGCCTTCATTCTGACTACAACAATTCTCTTTTTTTGAACTTTCGGATCAACATGAATCCCCACTGCCACTGTAGTGTTTGTTTTGCATGGGCAAAGCCATCGCGAAAATTCAAAATAATAATGCGAATAAAATACCAAAATGTAGGGGTGAACTTGGCTGGTTTAGCTGGTTCAAATCCGAGTTCACCTCTCATAAATCAGAAACCTGACATATACCAGTGGTTGGAAATAGCAGCTGGTATGCGTTGCTTTCCCACACCATAGATTAATGGCGGGCGCCAGGCTATAAGTGCATATGGAGAACCCCTGAGAAAAACATAAATTAAAGCTGCGTTTTTCGTCAAACTTTTTTCTTGGTTGTCCACCGGACAATGTCCTCAGACTGGCTAGGTTGTCCGGCCACAAATTCTGGTTGTCTCGCGACAACGGGACAACGCTTATTTCCAGCACTGCCTTGTCATGGATTTGACGCGCCTTCTCCCGGCTACAACTAGCACTGCCACTAGTCAGACACCTACTAGTACTTACTACTAGAGTACAAATGCCACTCGTAGTCGAGTACTAGTAACAGTAGCTCTTAGTACTATAGCTAACAGTAATAGGTTATTACTTAGCATTACTTTTAATTAGCATTTTGTTTCTGCGTACAGGTCCGAATTAGGTCTCCTCCACCAGTATAGTCTCTTACAATTAAGTCATTCCATACTACCATAGTGTATTTCTGTTGCCACTTCTGATGGTCTGCATTAAAATTGTCATATAGTCATTTCTTGAGTACCCCAAAATTTATTAAGTCTTATCTTTTTGAACGAGTTTTTTGTGGGTGCTTTCGCTATCCGCTTCAGGTAGGACTGTTTTCAGATGTGTACAATCTTGAAGTAAATATTTTTTTCCTTATTGATGTTGTGTTGCTTTCTGCATAGATCTTTAGTGAATTTCCTCTGCTTGATGGTCTTCTGTGATATCTTTCTTCGAACAATGTATGAAATTACTTGCATCTCTGTCACTAATGTCATGTTATGGACTCATTGTATTCTGTAACTTTTTATTTATTTCTCTCTCTCTTTCTCTTCTCTCTCTCTTCTTCTCTCTCTGCTCTGTCTCTCCTCTCTCTCTATAGTACTATATATATATATATATATATTATATATATATATATTATATATATATATATATACCTATATATATATATGTTACTTAAGTGCCTTACTCGTGTGGCTCTTTGCTGCCATCACAAAGCTATGTGATTGACAGTGCTGGTTAGTGCATGGCAGACTAAGCTGTGGCCATGTGATACAATAGAAATGTTTTCCTGCTGGCAAGATAAACGTTCTGAATAAAGCCTGCCACCCTGAATTAAAACTGAAGTTACTGTGGTCTGATCAGGTTAAGGGAGTTTTCTCTAATACAAACAAACCAAAAACACAATTACGCAACCATGAATGAATTAAATATGGGTTACCAGTTAGTCTGCCATGCTGCAAAGGTCTCACCTGCCTGCGTTTCTAGCACTGCTGCCTCATATAGCCCTGTAGCAAGAGCGTAGGACCACGCAGGTACAGCTATATGTGTATGTATTAGATGTAATGACCTAATCGGTTTTTGCACATGCAAGGCATACCATTCAGCCTGACTCTACGCTTAAGGTATCGGTAACATGCCATGCTGCCTCTCAAGACACAGTTCAAGGGTCCGGCACCTAAAGAAGGTATGCAGCTGGATGTAGTTTAAGTACACCAACTGTCGTTTTGTTATATTTTTTTAGCTCATCTTGACAAAGTCAGGTGCAGCTTGTAGAATCGCATTGGATCGCCGCTGCCGTGCGTGCGTGGCGTTGCGTCCGCTCCGTCGTCCGTCCATCCGTCAAACAGTGGGCCAAATTCTAAATGCTCGACGTACGGTCACGATATTCGCAGGACGTCTGGCGGCGGTAATCCGCAAAACGATTTGGGATGTCGAAG